AAACAATTTAAAAATGGCGGGAAGGTGTTTTTTACTTTTTATTTTTTCTCCTTGTCTTATATGTATTGATAAAACCAACCGGATACAAACAGTACAGCCAAAGAGATTTTTCTTCATGTTTACACAAACAAAATACGAAGAAATTTTTCCTCGAACAATTATATCGAAATTGATACGAATTCGATACTATAAAATAAATATCGAAAATCAATATATCGTGATTAAAAATAACATTAAAACAAATAAAATGACTGCCAGAACCTATTATTTTAGTTAGGCTTTGACTTCATCTGCATCTTTTCAAGGTACGAGTGTTAGCGCCTTTCGCTATGAATGTGTATTAGTGTTCCCAGGTTCAGTGGGTCAAATATAAGGATGGAAGGTAAAAGTAATCGGGAAATTGATTTATAAATGTAATTAAAAAAACAGGTTTTTTGTAGATATTTTAGCCGCCATTAGTTTAATAAAGTAATATTTTTTAAACAATGGGCAATGTGATGATTTCTTATTTTTATTTAAAAATGTGCAATGTGCTTATATTTATTTTGGATTATATTTATTTTGGAATGAGCTATTGGACGAATAATTTATCGTCCAAACACGATCGACAAAACTGCATATTCTTTTATGTATGTTGAACGTAAAACTTGTTGAACGATTAGTTACTCGTATCGTTGCAGACTCTAAATTTTCTGAATAAATCATTTAAATGTTATTCAAAAATGGCACCAAACAATAAAAAGCACATTCATTCATAATCAAATTGTAACCTCAAACATTGGTTGTTTGACACCCAGACAAAATCCTTGCATCGCACGCAAAATGCCACTTTATATATTGAAAACAACAGTACCTGCTACTGCTTGAAGAAATTGACTATTGGAAGACTGAACCCACAAGACTTATCTAAACAGCAGCATGTAAGTTAGGTACTGTACTAATTACTACTAAACGAATTAAATTATAATAATGGTGGAATGGACGCCATCAACTCATAGCGTGGCTGGGCTGACGGCATCGTTCGGTGAGTGAAATTAATATGAAACTGTATGAATAATATCTGTATCTCGCCAATATAATACGCGTAAAGTTTAAAACTTTTATTCGAACTGTAAGGTCCGAGCTTGGTGAGAAAATATGAAATATCAACACTAAAATAATTAAAATTTAAATATTTAAAATTTAATGTAGTAACAGCCATAATAACAGCTTACAGATATTCATTTTGCTGCTATAATGATCGAAGGAAAAAGGACAAAGGACTAAGGAGCCTAGTAAGAATAATATTACGTGGTAGAGCCATGCTGCAGCTGTTAGTAGTATAGTTGTAGCACGAATGGGTCGGCTCGACTGGGGAAGGACCACGCTCTCACAGAATACCAGCGTCAAATAGTAGCTTAATGCAACTGTGTTTCGTATGGTGAGTGTAGAGAACCGGAGACCCTTTTTACTGGAAACGAGGCATTCCACCTAAGTCCTCACGGATGACAACGCATCTGCATTTTGATTCGTAATCGAGGACAGATATAAATGTCTATAGGCCACAGCAACCACTTACCATCAGGTGGACTGTGTGCTTGTTTGTCATCCTATCCTATAAAAAAAATTGGATTCCTGATTAAGGGTGAATCGAGACGTGTCACCAAACCCCTGAAAAACGGGACATCTGGCGCAAATCGGGACCCCCGGCAACCTTGGTGTATACACCAAGGTTGCCAGGTGTCCCGATTATAATCTACACTAGCGCCTAGCAGTTTGTAAGTACCTAACGGCCGTTTTGTAATTTCTTGTTGATGAACAATATAAATGTTTTTGTTTTCGATTTAGAGTTTTTGTTGTGTTAAGTTGCTATTTGTTGAGTTTGTTTATTTTAAATGCCAAAACAAACAAATAAATTGTTAATTGGAGTCAAGCGGGCGGGTAAGCCTATAGCTTATCGCTATACGCCTTCGAGAATATTTCATTATTTTATTTTAGGATCAACACAATGTCGAAATAAATATAAAATTATTTAACTCCTATTTCTAGATTTTATCACTTTCGCTATTTATTTGTTTATTGTAGTACATGTTACTACATACATTTAGTGTACATGAATATTATGACTATATGCATCACACATAAAAAAATTATCTTACTTATTTTTTTGCGATTGTATTCGTTGACAATTATAACGTCCGATTAGGTGGCAAATCCCCAGTAATAAAAAAATTACCACTAGTATGCATAATATGCACGCACACCCACACGCACATGCACACGCACACGCACATGCACACGCACACGCACACGCACACGCACATGCACATGCAAACGCAGATGCACACGTACACGCGCGCGCAATGTCACGAGCACGCGCACGCGCTCGCACACGCACACGCACACGCACACATGTATATATATAACATGTAACAAAAACCCTGTGGTTCCCGTTAACTGCGTTATCGGAATCAGTATCCAAGCATATAGAACAAATTTAAAAAAAATCATAGTGCTAATGCACTAAGACATGAAGTTGAGTATGCCTGTTACACTTAAAAGTGCTACCAAACACACTCATCCCAATCTGAAAGACAGACGACGCATCGCTATGCGCTACGAAGCCGCCCACAAATGGGTATGGGTGTGCGACGTCCACCGGAAAGCCGTATTGCTACAACAAACCCGCTTACCACCGACACTAAGATGATATATCTAGGACAGATCGGTTAGCGAATCCAAGATTACCTCGGTCTCAGTTGCTCGTGAAGCAGCATACACGCCACTATAATAATCCTTTTCAAGTCCCATTTCTATTAATATAATGCTTATACTTATTTGAAACCTTCCACATTTTTTTACTTTATTTCATAGACCTTACTATTATATGTCTTTAATATAAAGGACTTCAACCCATAACTCTACTATCATAATGCTTATGCATCAAAGTGACCTTCTATAATAATGCTTTTGTATTATCGACCTCACTATTATATGTCTTTAAGAGAAATGTGAAGTGCCGATACGCGACGCGAGTAGGTATTTTCAAAAATGCTACCTATTTCATATCGCTCGCTTTGCCTCCCACCGGGCGTGATAAATACAAATACATTATAAACAAATTCTCAAGCACACTACAATAGCAGCAGTAAGCGACACTCGGGCATATTCTGTGAATCGCTCGAACGTCGGCTATCTGCGGTTTGCTTAAATTTACGACTTTACGACAAGCAAAGAGATTTAAATTCTAACAACTTTAAACGAGCAATTGTTTTATATATATTAGAATACAAAGGTAAATTTTGCTAGTGATTCGAAGATTGCTATAGCTCAAATGAAAAATCGGCAGTCGCGAATCGGTGGTTCGAATCCGAATGACTTCGGCCCGACTTTTTTTCAAGCGCCCTTCTTTTTGTGGGAAAATCTAATATTTCGAGCCCTTTTTTAGTATTTTTTTTAAATACACGGAAAATTAAATTAAAACTAATTGAACTCATGATTTTTATTTAAATAACCAGTTCAGTTTTTTTATTATGTTGGTAAGATCGAAAAATATTATTCATATTACATCAGTATGTAATTTGTATCTAAATATAATTTCCAAAAAACACGATTTCCAAAAAAAAATATACCGAGCAAAGCTCGGTCATCCAGGTACTACATACTTAAATGTCTTTGACGACAAGTGACATAATTATTCAATTTGTTTGTGTTTCTTTGCAATCTACTATATAAAAATAAGTCGGGTTTTCCTTCCTGACGCTATAACTCCAGAACGCACGAACCGATTTCCACGGTTTTGCATTCGTTGGAAAGGTCTCGGGCTCCGTGAGGTTTATAGCAAAGAAAATTCAGGAAAAATTTCAACAGAAAAGCGGGAAAATCTTTTTTGCACATACAGCGCCATCTCTGATACATAGCATGTAATACAAACCAATATTTTAAGTAGATGGCGCCGGTGCGTGATACATTGTTTGACAGCTACTCATTGTTCTCTGCTTAGTTAATTTCATGTGACAAACCGGTATTGTGTTCACTGTGAAAATGTGAAAAAAAAATTAAAAAAAAATAAGTTATTCGTTTCCTAACATTACAATTAGAAACCATCAAATCCATCACGTGTATTGTGCAAATTTTTATTCAATTTCAACAGCAGGCATTTGTCTTTAAAGTGGTAAGTTGAACTGTGTAAATTATGTGGATCATGCATTTGAGGTTAAATTCACCATTCTATCCATAATCCAAAATGCCTAGAGGACGACGTGCGAACATCGGACACCGCACAAGACATGCAAGCCAGCAACAAGTGTATTCACAGAACTTAAGCGAAGAAAGACTAAAAAAAAATAATAAGAGAAAATGCCCGATTGAGACAAAGCGTGAGCACACGAAGATCATTGGCATCATACCATCGCTTGGCATTCCAATATGATCCCACTGCGAACTACAGTGATGATGAAAATTTAGATATTGGACCAATGACGACTATATGCCAATATTGCAATGCGTTAAAGTTCAAAAGAGAAACGGCTGGATTGTGCTCCGCAAGTGGAAAAGTCAAACTGGATCCATTACTTACACCACCACAGCCACTGAAACCATTGTTCGATGGAAGAATAGCAAAGAAAATTCAGGAAAAATTTCAACAGAAAAGCGGGAAAATCTTTTTTCACATACAGCGCCATCTCTGATACATAGCATGTAATACAAACGAATATTTTAAGTAGATGGCGCCGGTGCGTGATACATTGTTTGACAGCTACTCATTGTTCTCTGCTTAGTTAATTTCATGTGACAAACCGTTGTGTTCACTGTGAAATTGTGAAAAAAAAAGTTAAAAAAAATAAGTTATTTGTTTCCTAACATTACAATTGGAAACCATCAAATCCATCACGTGTATTGTGCAAATTTTTATTCAATTTCAACAGCAGGCATTTGTCTTTAAAGTGGTAAGTTGAACTGTGTAAATTATGTGGATCATGCATTTGAGGTTAAATTCACCATTCTGTCCATAATCCAAAATGCCTAGAGGACGACGTGCGAACATCGGCCACCGCACAAGACATGCAAGCCAGCAACAAGTGTATTCACAGAACTTAAGCGAAGAAAGACTAAAAAAAATACTAAGAGAAAATGCCCGATTGAGACAACGCGTGAGCACACGAAGATCATTGGCATCATACCATCGCTTGGCATTCCAATATGATCCCACTGCGAACTACAGTGATGATGAAAATTTAGATATTGGACCAATGACGACTATATGCCAATATTGCAATGCGTTAAAGTTCAAAAGAGAAACGGCTGGATTTTGCTGCGCAAGTGGAAAAGTCAAACTGGATCCATTACACCACCACAGCCACTGAAACCATTGTTCGATGGAAGTGATCCCGGTTCCAGCCATTTTCTTCAACACATCCTTGAATACAATAACTGCTTTCGCATGACTTCCTTTGGAGCTAATATCATTCGAGAAGGCGGCTTCATGCCAACTTGCAAGGTAAAAGATACAACACACATAACCAATCACTCACACCAACACAATAAACTTCAACACATAACAACTACATATACACCACACACTACACCATAACACGATCAGAAGTTACACCGTATTCTTCAACAAATGATTGTTTGCAATTACAGGTACAAGGACAAATATATCATTTGCATGGTTCAATGGTGCCAACACCAGATGAACCGCATCAATTTCTGCAAATATATTTCATTTCGTCGATGGTGGATCAGCTGAATGTGCGGTGCAATATACAGGGAACACAACAGTTAAAGAGACGAATTATTGAACAGTTGCAAGCATTTTTTCACGCTAATTATGATGTGTTTAATATGTTCAAAACAGCATTGGAACGAATACCATCGGATACGCACAAATTTGTCATAAGAGCGGATTGTACCCCAACAGGTGAACATGTGCGAAGATTCAACCGTTAATGATGTTGCTGCAATTATTGTTGGCGATCCAACTAAATCGCGAGACATTGTCGTTCAGCGAAGAAGCAATATCATGCATCGTGTAAACGAGACACATCATTTGTACGATGCGTTACAATATCCAATCATTTATTGGCAAGGGCAAGACGGATACAACATCACGTTGAAGATGGTCGATCCAATTACAGGTACAATATTCATACACTAATTATTGCTATTATTGGTTTCCATTAACAATTCATTTAATTTTGCATTTTCAGGCGTATCAACGAATAAAAATCTAAGCGCAATGAATTACTATGCGTATCGTATGATGATTCGTACACATGAGGAGAATGTCATTCTGAAGTGCCGTCGGCTATTCCAGCAATTCGCTGTCGACATGTATGTCAAAGTCGAGACCGAACGTTTAGCGTTCATCCGATTCAATCAGGCAAAGCTACGATCTGAGGACTATATACACTTGCGTGATGCTATTCATTCAGATGGTGATGTGCAGAATATTGGACGTCTGACGATTCTACCATCATCTTATATCGGAAGCCCACGCCACATGCATGAATACGCTCAAGACGCTATGACGTACGTGCAAAATTATGGAACTCCAGATTTATTTATTACGTTCACATGCAATCCGAAGTGGACGGAAATTGAACGTGAGTTGGAACCGGGCCAAAAACCGCAAGATCGCCATGATATAATCGCCAGAGTATTTCAGCAAAAACTCAAGGTTATGATGGATGTTCTTACTAAGTATCGAGTTTTTGGTGACACACATTGTTATATGTACTCGGTGGAATGGCAGAAGCGTGGACTACCGCGTGCTTATATCCTAATTTGGTTGCTGAATAAATTATATTCAAATGAAGTGGATGACATCATATCAGCTGAAATTCCTGATCCAGTCACTGATCCCCATCTACACGACATTGTAACGACACAGATGGTGCATGGACCGTGCGATGCATTAAATTCATTATCGCCTTGCATGGCTGATGGAAAGTGCACAAAACGATATCCGCGACCGTTAGTTGCTAAAACAGTCACAGGGAACGATGGATATCCAGTTTATCGTCGGCGTTCAAAAGAAGATAATGGCCGAACTATCAAAGTTAATGTTCAAAATCAAGAGATTGAGATCGGAAATGAATTCATTGTACCATATTGCCCGCTGCTATCACGAATTTTCGAAACACATGCAAACGTTGAGAGTTGTCATTCAGGCAAATCAATCAAATATTTGTGCAAGTACGTCACAAAAGGCAACGACATGGCTGTGTTTGGTATTGCGTCGGAAAATGCGAATGACGAAATCAGCAACTTCCAAATGGGCAGATACGTAAGTACTAATGAAGCACTGTGGCGATTATTGTCATTTCAAATTCATGAAAGTTATCCCACAGTTGTAAATTTAGCAGTGCATTTGGAATATAGCCAAAGAGTTTACTTTACTGAGGCTAATGCGGCACAACGAGCTGAGAGACCACCATCGACAACATTGACTAGCTTTTTTGCAATGTGTGAAGCAGATCCATTCGCAGCGACTCTGATGTACGTTGAAATGCCCAAGTATTACACTTGGAATCAATCAACAAAGAAATTTCAACGTCGCAAACAAGGAACCCCAGTTCCAGATTGGCCACAGGTGTTTTCCACTGATGCACTAGGTCGCATGTATACTGTTCATCCTAGAAATGATGAATGTTTTTATTTGCGACTGCTGTTGGTAAATGTACGTGGACCAAAATCATTTGCGCATTTGAAAACTGTGAATGGCCACCAATGCCAAACATATCGAGAAGCATGTCAACTATTGGGTTTGCTGGAGAACGATTCTCATTGGGATTTAACACTTGCGGATTTAGTTGTTTCATCAAATGCGTACCAAATACGAACGCTGTTCGCAATTATCATCACCACATGTTTTCCTTCACAACCAATTCAGTTATGAAACAAATACAAAGATGACATACGTGAAGATATTTTGCATCGCTTGCGCAATTAAACGAATAATCCTGACATCCAAATAACCGATGAAATCTACAATTAAGGATTGATTCTGATTGAGGATCAATGCTTGACTATTGCAAACAAGCTACTGATTGAAGTAGGAATGATTGCACCAAATCGATCGATGCACGATGCATTCAACCAAGAATTAAATCGAGAGCTGCAATACAATGTTGATAAATTGCAGGAATTCGTTCGAAGTAATGTGCCGTTGCTGAATGAACAGCAAAAACGAGTATACGAAACATTAATGCAAGCGGTGGACAATAATACTGGTGGTCTATTATTCCTGGCCGCACCTGGAGGAACAGGGAAAACATTTGTAATTTCATTGATTTTGGCCACTATTCGATCAAGATGTGACATAGCTTTGGCGTTAGCATCATCTGAAATTGCGGCGACTCTTCTAGATGGCGGTCGTACTGTACATTCTGCGCTTAAGTTGCCACTCAATTTAAACACAATTAATACTCCAACATGCAATATTTCCCGATCCAGTGCAATGGGAAAATTGTTGATGCAATGCAAGTTCATTGTTTGGGATGAGTGCACAATGGCACATAAGAAATCACTTCAAGCACTTAACTTTACACTGAAGGATCTTCGGCGAAATAACAACATCTTTGGCGGCTTGATGATATTATTGGCAGGCGATTTCAGGCAGACGTTGCCAGTAATTCCCCGTGGAACGCCTGCAGATGAATTGAATGCTTGCCTGAAGGCATCACCTTTATGGAATAACGTAAAAATATTATCGCTAACCACTAATATGAGAGTTCAACTTCAAAATAATCATGGTTCAACTACAAAATTTTCCAAACAATTGTTATCTGTTGGAAATGGAAAAGTTCCAGTTGATGCTACATCTGGATTAATCACCCTTACCAACGACTTTTGCCGATTTGTAGACTCTCAATTAGCTCTTATTGAAAATGTTTTCCCAAATATTAATGAGAATTATCAGAATTATGCTTGGTTAAGTCAACGAGAAATTCTTGCCGCAAAGAATAATGATTTACACGCACTAAATTTCACCATTCAATCAAAAATTGCTGGCGATTTGGCGACATACAAATCCGTTGATTCCATAACAAATCCCGATGATGTAGTAAATTATCCAACGGAGTTTTTGAACTCTCTGGAGTTACCAGGATTTCCACCACATAACTTGCAACTCAAAGTTGCTACAGTTATTATGATATTGCGTAATTTGAATCCACCGCAACTTTGCAACGGTACTCGACTTTCGATAAAAAGACTTATGCCGAATTTGATTGAGGCAACCATTATTAACGGAAAGTACGCAGGTGAAAATGTATGTGTTCCTCGAATACCAATGATTCCGACTGATCTTCCGTTTGACTTCAAACGATTGCAATTTCCAGTTCGCCTGGCGTTCGCTATGACAATTAACAAGTCGCAAGGCCAATCGCTTAGTGTTTGCGGGATAAATTTATAAAATCATTGTTTTTCGCATGGGCAGTTATACGTTGCGTGTTCACGAGTTGGGAAACCATCCGCTTTGTTTGTGTTAACGTCAGGCCAAAAAACAAAAAATGTGTTTTACCAAAGAGCACTTCAATGAAACGGATAATTTGCGGACACGTATAACGCTTCGATTCAGTATTTACTTTGGATTCACTTTCATTTACTTAGAGAAGTTCAACTAAATAACACTTCATTTTTGTAATCGAAAAGAATTCATTACTGTTGTGAAATGAAATAAAATTTTCCCTTTTCAAATATAAAACAAAAAAAAATTCTTCTTCTTATAATCACCAAACGAAATGTTACATAAAACGAAGCCATCTGGTGGCGAAACGGCGTTCGCCGGGTTTGCTAGTTTTATTATACTTATTGCATAGTGTGTGTAGACATTTAGTAGGTACTAACTACATATACCTTATAGAAGTGGCTGTTATTTTTATATCTAAATATTTACCTATCTATATCTGCCAAAGGCAAATGCCAGCTTTTACGATGAGTATTATATTCATTCAAATAAAATTAATTTATACCTTTTAGAATGGAAGATAAAGATTATAGAAGAGGAAAAAAAAGTCGACCGTGTTTATCAACAAAACGAAAAAAATATCAATTTTCTTCGTAAATCGAAAGGATGGGTAACGCCAACTTCTAAAAACAACAGGTATACCACATAACATACTATTGCACATAGGTATCATACGTAATATTAATTATTCTGTGATCATACTTTGATTGGTAGGTGATAGACCGAAATTTATTTCGCCAAAATATAAAATTATGGAATAGCTGATGTTGATTTTTAAGACTTCATAAAAGGACGAGGTTCTAAGTTCGGCTGTATGTTTTTTCTTTTATTTTATTTTTATGTATGTTCACTGATTTCTCCATCGTGGACCGATTTTGAATACTTATTCAT